AAGTGCTGTGGTTTCTTAATGACCGACCAATAGAGACGGTGGGAAGGGGTGTCATTAACGTTTGGGTGGAGCAGTGTGAAGAATCTTGAGTGATTGATCTTTCTATTCTCCCGGAGCTTTTTTTTCAGTTCAGCCCCACAGTTGTGTATGCAAACGGTGAAAGTGAGTCGTTATCAACATTGTAACTGATGAGCAAGCATGTGATTAAGTGTCAGCAGATGTTCGCAAACAGTCTATGTTTAACGAATGAATGCTTCAAAAGAACTAGACCAGCCCGTCACTGTGCTTGTCAGGAAGTGTTTCCTCAAATTTCAATAGTGGTAAAAAATTATCAGAAAATTATAGAAAAATAATCACTGGTATCAGTGTTCCCTTGTTACCACCCACCCCCAGTCCTGACCTTCCAGTGACAGCAGCTGGGGGCAGTAGAAGTGCAGCAGAGCCCCCAGGGCCGAGCCATCTGTGCTGTCTTTCAACAGGTTGTCCACAGGAGGGATCCAGAGGTCTGACGGGGTGGAGGTTTGCTCCTTCCTGTACCGTGCCTATGTAACATATGTAAAGGCATTAAGTTTGCTTTACTCACAGACTGAGCCAGGACCACTTTGTTTCTCTGGCATGAAGCAGTTCTCGTGCATTATAAGAACTAGATTTTGACAGAATGTGCAGATGGTTCAACTCGCAGTTTAAAATGGAGCAATCTGTAAGAAATAACGTGTAACATGGGTATGAAAGAAAGAGAGTTAAGTCAGTGAGGGACATTTTTTAGTTGTGCTACACAACACGTTACATGCAGGTAAAACAATAGCAGACGAGACACAAAGTTAGGAAGCACGAGAGATGGTCAACAAATCATCTTCAACACAGAGGACGCAGCAGATGACTTACAGGCACAAGCTTCATGTACCACTTGGTTGGAGACTGCAGCAGCAGCAGCAGCAGGGACAGCAGAGCAACAGAAAAAAATAATGACAACACATTTTTGTTAGTGCAATTAGTTAGTGATTAATTAGTTACACAGAGAAAAAGACACGACAGGTTTGAGAGGAAAAAGACAAATTCACCTCAACATTCCTTAATTAGATTAGTCTAATGCAGTGTTGGCTTCTTTGCAGTGGCTTATGGGTAAAGAAGCTGGAGGTTGTATTTTCTTTGTAATAGTCACTGCTATAGAACTAAAAGCAGGCATGTGTAAAGCAGAGTGTAAGTATTAAATTAACACAAAGTAGAGCGTAGTGTAGTCTCACTCGGTGCTTGTACAAGTCCCATTAAGTTGAATTATGGACATGACATTAACAGGCTTTTAATTTCATTCGTTTCCTTCCTCCATAGTGACAGTAATGTAGGGGAACTGATGTGTTTAAATAAAGAAGCTTGATTGAGGAATGGCCTTTTACTAGCTTGATATTATGATTGATTATGTTTGAGGTAAAAAAAAAAACTTTTAGAAAGTTAGCTAACAAAAAAGAGAACGATTATATAAAGCAGGATCAGCAGCATTGACAAATCAAATCACAAACCCACTGACTTGATTAAACATAACCAACTTGTTTTATCTATTAGCTCATCCCCATGCTGTGAAGTATGAAAAGTAACTGGCAGGTTGTCAACTACAAACTGGGACTTGTGAGAGAACACTGCCTCTCTGTTGTAAACAACGGATCAGTGGTAGGATTTCTTTGATTTCCTTGATTTGATCAACACTGGGACTGATAAACAAACTCCAACGCCATCAGTGGAACAGACTCAGTGGAATCAAACCAACAACGTTTGAGTGGATCAGTGAGTGGTCTGAAGCTGATAGGACAACAGGATGGACAGACTTTTATATACATTTGTGACAGCACTGCCATACACACTGGACTGTAGGAATGAGCCGCAGACATGGCAACATTTGTCTACAATGACTAGACTGACAACATCGACTTATGGATGTCTTTAAACTCCGTAATTTTGAGTGAAAATAAATTAAAATGTCTTTGTTTTGGTAAAAAAAAAACCCTCAGAAACACATGCATTATCCTGTGGGTAATTTTTGACACTGGTTTAAAATTCAACCTTCAGATCAGTCCTGTTGTATCAATCAAAGGCTTCGACAGGCTTAGACAGGCAGCTAGCCAAGCTGAGGTCAATCATGTTGAGGCAAGATTAGAAAAAAAACAAAAACTCATGACTACATTCTACCACGACTTGTCTGGACTACTGTATTGATCTTGATGTTCCAGAATGATGTTTCCAAACATTCTACTCTAACTTCCTCATTTCACCTGTTCTGTCTTCCCTCCTGTGGCTCCCTGTACTCTGGAGTGGAGTAGTAATGTTAAAGTCCTGCTGCAGGCATGTAAAGACCTGTGTATTCTTGTTCCACCAATATGACTGGTCTGCTCCAGACAGACAAGTGTCTTTGTGGCGTCTCACGTCTGACCGTGGTTTCTTGGCCATTTTTAAAGCAAAAAATTATGCACTTTATTTAATTTTACAATAAAAAATAATCCAATAGTTTCAGAGAGTGAACCTCTTTGGTAGTGATCATTTTTGTGTGTGTATTTTCACAGTTAGTCTGTAAAAGGCTGCCATGTTGGGTCATTTCCTTAGAATTAGAATTATAAAAAACGACTCACTGACGTTGCCTCTTCAAACCGAACTTCACACCTTTTTCCTAAATACACCCGCCCACCTTCCTCCCACACTCGGCCCATTCAAACACTGTTGTCCTGGTGAGCTCCAGTCTGAAACATGTTTTTATTTCTGACTGAGGCTGAGGCAGAACTTGTGACTCACACTGCAGTCATAATACAGCAAATACATGAGAGGGGGAGGTCCACTGAACTGGTGCTAACGTTCACATTGTGAGCAGGTGTGGCTCTACTGTAATTTCTTTCATCAAAATGACTGGATGTCACTTTCGCAGATTTATCCGTATCAGTTAAATTGTCATTTTTGGACCTAGTGTGTATCACAGCAGCTTTTGGACAGATGATAGTCAGGCCAATGCCTAGTTGGACCTGTGTATTACAGTAGCTTTTGGACAGATGATAGTCAGGCCATCAAACACTGTGGAAGTTAACTACTACACTGGGTTTAACCCGACGGATGTGGCTGTGACTCTAAATAAATCTCTCCAACTGTACTGCAACACTGACAGTGTGAGAACAAATTTTGTTGCCTGAAATAACCTGTGACAGAGAGGGAGTTAGAAAAAGAGGTTTGGACCAAAAAGGCAGTACAGTAGAGAATGAGTTTGAGGCGTGAAGTTTATGGAGAGGAAACAGAAGAGCACCCACCCGTGGACTCCCTGCAGGGTCAGCACTCTGAGGCTCTTTTTTCTGCTCCTGAATCACAATGTCTCTCAGGCATTCATTGACCTGTGAGGTAGAGGACAAAGAGGATTCATCTTAACTTTTGTGACAGCAGCTTGACTGTGACGTTCAATGTTTCACACATTTGTTCAAGGTCAACGATGAAAAAATTGTTTCAGGATGAAGGATTTTGAAGTGCTTTACAATTATGGTGAAGTCAGCTGAAGAAACAAAATTCGTTTTCACCCACTTTTGGAGCACTTGCAGTTTATCTTGTGCAGAATGTCGGTAGCCATTTTCACCTTGTGTACTAAAAATAATTTTCGGTTTTTGAAAGCAAACGGTCTCCCAAAAGAGAGCCATATGTCTGACCAGTAGGACTCCATGACCACACCCCTTTGTGTGTGTGTGTGTGAAGATCAGTGCTTGCAGCAGACCACTGATTCTAACAAAAATGTAAACAGTCTTGTCAGCCGTTTAGCAGAAGCAGAACCATAGGACAGATTCAGTGACTGCTTTAAAAACAACTGATTTAAATTCTTCGTGTGGTGCAAAACAGGTCGAAAATTATTGTTATAATTAATTTAATGAAATGAGAGTGCAAGTGTTAAAACACTTTCTATCCAATTATTTAAAATGAAAACTGTCAATACAAACATGACAACAGTACCCAGTCCTTTTCATGTAGTAAACAGGCCTCAACATGTGGCTCTATTGTACAGAAGGACACCGTTGCTTTTGCTGCAACAAAAACGTCCAAACTTGTCTCCAACACCCTTAGATTTAATACACTTAATTCAGAAGGCACAGGAGTTTAGTGCCTTGTTTCATCTTGCATAGATAATGACAATGATGACACGTTACTTTGTATCAGAAATAAAAAAATAGCACTTTTTACACGCAATGCCACCTATACAGTACTGAGAAGTACACATAGGTACAGTATGTTTTGACATTTCTAATTCACCTCAGTACAGCTGATCCTAACCTGAGGGTTGAAGGTATAATCGGTGTATAAATTGTTTCGTAACAAATTTGATGGTCGACAGCCAAGTCAGATTAACTGTTATTATGTACAAAATGTGCACCACCCTTCTTCTTGACAGATACTGGAATAAAGTGGATTGAACGTTAGTCTTGCACAGTGCGTACAAACATCTCCGTAAATCCTACTTATAACGTGCTACATACCAAAGTGACAGTCCTGAGGCCTTTGCTTGTTCTACAGTGTGACATGCTCATAGGAAAAACACACATGAAGAATGACACTGTTGTACTTACATTTTACTTTTTGGTAAATATTTGCTAATTTTAGTAACCATTTTATAATAACTTATAATAACCATTTTATAATAATAACTGGCAAGCTTTAAACAAAACAAAACAGTTACATTGTATTTGTTTACATCTAATACGAAATATAAATGTAGTTTTTTAAAATTTTTAAAAGTGATTATTTTTAGTAGTTTGTCATAAATATAGACAATACAGACTACTTAAAAAATGTAGATTTATACAGACAGTTTTAGATACAGACAAATTTAGATGCCAATTATTTTTGCCTTTGTTGCCTTTCCCTGTCCATCACTTTGGGAAACGACTATTGCTACCCAGTTTTACCCACCTTGTTTATCCAAGTGGTCACTGCATCTTCTGTATCATATGGAGGCTCCTCCTCGGTTTCACTGGATGAATATTGAGAAACGCAGGCCATTATTTTCTCCACGCTCACAGTCTCCTTGACGAATGCCATCATTAGAGTGTCAATCATTGCCAGATGGGCACTCTGGAAGAACAAAACACAAGGGAAGACAAATTGAAAATTGAACAACTCACTCCAGTTAGCAATAGTGCCATGACTTCATCATAAACGTTTATTTAATTTCCAAGACCAAAAAAAAAAAAAGAAAATAACTCAATTTTGATGCCCACAACACCTTTTAAAACTGCTGTTGATGTTGTGTTTGACACATATTTGTTTGCCTTTGCCGTTTGAAATAGCAGCGACTCCAGGCACAGCAATTGTAATTGCACGTTAGAGCATTTTTATTTCTGTCTCATCCTATATAACTTTTTAGGGACTTAGAAAATTAATTTCCCAAAACTTTTCTGGGTTTTTCATGACCGTGGACACAAGATAATAACGAATCACAAATTGGAAATTGTGTCTGAAAAATTCAATGTTAACAGATAATAAGAGGGCAACTGTGCTCTGAAGAAACATTCCGTGGAGCCTGTGATGTAACGAGTCTGTAATGAGTTTCTGCCTTAATCAGAGGGTAAAAATAGGCCAAGAATGTGAACCATTTGTTCTAATTTGTATGAAAATACTGACTGGAGTTCAGTGTTTTGAAGTGTATCTGAGTCACTGCATTACCATAATAATGTTGGCGGGTTCGGTGTGCGACATTGAAAGTGTAATCATTTGTTTATACCTGGACCAGGACTCTTTCTGTATTCTACATTTGAAAGCCTGTCTCCGGTTCAACATTCCCTGGTGGCTGTTGCCCTGGAAACAGGAGCATCCATCCCTGGTTACATGACCCAATTTCCTCACAGTGACTGCTGGCCTTGGATGAAAATAAGACATCTTACTGACAACACAGACTGACTTTTGTGTACAGGTGTCCACTGGGAGTAACTTAGAGACCATAGCCCATTTGTCATCACAACTTTATAAAAAAAATCAACATAATTTAAAGAGTAGTGTTGCTATTTTTTTAATTTACTCATTAATTTAATCAGATTAGACCAATGGTGTTTAGTCATTTTGTATGACCAATATGAGTATTAATTATCCACTCAAACTACTGACTTCCACATCAACACGGTGATTGAACAATTAGTTTATTAGTTAAGTATACTTAATGACAGTAAGTTAACACTATAAAAATAGTAGAGTGGCAAATGTTTCCCCAAACATACTTAGAAATGCAAAAGGGAGCTTTAGGTTGTTTTATTCTGTCTCACTAAGCTTTTAAAAGCACAACTGACGTTCTAATAAAAATCTAAAAAAAAACTATTAACTATCAACACACAGGAGATGAATAAAAGTTTGGGTTCTAAATGATTTACCAGCTCTGTTTGATCTTCCCGGCAGCCCATATTTTAGGAGCCACATTAAATTGCTTGGTTTTATTTCAGACCAGTCTCTGGACATCTCTCCTCTTCGTATATCCAGTCCGTACCACCCAGAAGCCAAACTGCCAAGCACTTATACATACAGCTTTTCCATGAACTAATTTAAGCAAACAGCCAGAGCGGCTTTGAAGATTCATAATGATGCCTTGTACCACAATCAAATAAGTTGGAAAGAAAAAAAGAGAAAAAGGCCACATTGCATCTTATTTACTGTGGAAGTGTTTTTGTACTTTTCACTTTCTGGAACTTAAAAGTATGAAATCTGTTTTTCTTGTACTTAGCTAACGTAACTGCCAAATGGATTACCATCAATTGAAAAATATGTATTGACGTTTTAATATAATGAGAAAATTCCCATTCCCCCATAAACCTCCAGTCATATGAGAGTTTGTTAATTGAAATCTTCACTCAAAGAGCAATGTATTGTTATGTTTGTTTCTTTAATAAATGCAATTGCAATTAAGACTCTGTAATGAACCTGCCCTCTGACACACCATTAGTTAAATGCTTAGTTTTCACCATCTCCCATGTAGTATTCCAGCAACAATCCAACCCCTTTTAATAATACACTGCCATGTTGTTTCCCATTGGTCTTCATTTAGTCTGTCCAAACACTGTGAAACACTACACTACAGACACACCAACCAGGACACGAGCCACAAACACCAATTGATCTGCTTTACAAGATCACCCTGTGTTCTGACAACAGTATGATTAACTGTGAGCAAGAACAATTTTGAAAAGGCCAAGGGACAAATATCAATCCTCAAAGCCCCCCCCCCCGGTTTCCCTCATCCTAGGGTTTGCTCCAGAGTCCTGAGATTATTGATTGGAATCTGCTGTAGTCTGATGAGGTAAAGTCACAACAATGTGAACTAATCTTGTTTATGAAACCACAGTCCTGCAGACTGTAATTGCGCTGTGCTGTACAACACCTGAGGCCATGTTGGATGCATGTTGTGTAGGGCCTCAGGGGAATTCTTCTTTGACACAGCATCAGTGAAAATGCTCCATCAATATTAAAAAAAAGCAACAACGACAAAAAACAAAACAAAAAACAGTTGTCTAAAAATGCTAATTACAACTACAATTATTTTGTTTGGCAATTCACTTATCACTTATCGATACAAAGTTGTTGTTTTTTTAATTTATTTTTAATTTTATTTTAGGGAACTATTCAAAAACATTTAAGAGTTTTGTATAAAGCCTTGACTTCTGTGATTACTTCTCCTGTGGAAATTGAATCCACAGAGATGATAAAACCAATTGCTCTGAATTAATGTCTTTACCATGGATTACAGTATCAATTGCTCTGAACCAGCGCATTAATGTCTTTACCATGGATTACAGTACATTTATGGTACTTCAGTGGATCGTGACTTTTGCGAGGGTTCACAACCCTCCTTTTTCCCCCTTACCTTTCATTTTATCACACAATGTCCAAGCAGACCACACTCCAAATTGTTCCCAGGACACAAAAACACATGCATACAATACAACACACCCACACACAGGACAAGAGTGATGTAACAATGTATTGAAAAACAGTTAACGTTTAGTGTTACATTTCTCCTGTTGAGGCCCTGAGGCCTGGACAGATGTCAAAAAAGACTGAGTGTGTTCAGTATCAGGTAAATGAACACCACCTCAGCTGGATATGGAAAAGCACTCAGCGGTTACCTCCCACTTTAAGGTCAACGTCAGCAGAATGAAGTGAAAAGGAAAAAGCAGCACTCCTACATAAAACCTTGTTGGACTTGAGAAAAGCACTGTATTCTACTTAATTTTCTGCTCAAGCTTGATGTCTTGGAATGATCAGCAATTAAAAAAAAAAGAAATACTCTAACATATACAACTGCACATACTTTTGTGTACACAACCATGGGTTTTGAAAAGTACCAACATTGAGGTCTGGCAGTAATTGTGGGAATAGAGATTTTAAGGAACATACTGTACCTTCCTACTCCACATGCTTCCAACCCAACCCATTCATTAAATGGAAACCTCAGAGCAAACCGTAGGCTACTGGCCAGTGTTGACCTGCGCCCAGACATGGCTTATATATAGACTCTATTGTCCTGACAGTTAGGAATAATTTGTATTTAGAAGGAAAACTCACCACACTATTTCCTGTTTTACTCTAAGCACGGATTACTCGCTCAGCGCTTCAGTTTTTCGCTGATTTGTTAATTTACTACTTATCAGTAGAACCCATGCTTAATTGGATCCAGTCTTATTAATACGATGCTGTGGTTTCATATTTTAGAATCAGGAAAATTAAATAAGTCACATAAAGTAATTCTAATTATTAACACTGTCCAATCAGTCTAACAGTAATAATTCCTCATGGATTAAAGTCTAAAGCCTCACGTCTCTGAACTTAAGACACGTCTTGCAAATCCCTTGATTTCAATTCTTAAGAGGAAATGACAGAATATGAGGAAAAATGAATCTTTTTCTTATAAAAATATATTGTTGATCCAGGGCCGTTGCTGCTGTTCCTTCTTTATTAGGATCCCTGTGCACTCATTACTGAAGACATTGATGTACAGACGTGTAAACATTTGCCTAAAGATATTCTCAACTAATGAATTAAAATCTCCACAGACCTGAAAACTAATAGATTATGATTCAAGGATGAATTATGGAATTGCTGCATCAGCTGGTTAGAAACAGTAGTAGGGCCATTTAATCCTTATCTGCTCTGCACATCTTGTTCATTTTTTCTGACAAATGAACCAACCATCAGACTTAATCTGTTTCTAGTGACCAATGATGGAAGATGACACGGAATCACATAATGTTTCACTGCATGTTCCCTGACTATCCAACCATACTGTACTGCCTGAAAGTCGCTGCTGGCCATGAGTCCAGTGAGGACACAAAGTCCTTGGACGTGTCTCTCTCTCCTGTCCTGCTGTTTCAGCTTGTCTTTGTGCGTTGAATCAGGTGCAGAGAAAATGCAGTGAGGACAGGGGGAAGTCAGTTTAATGTGTAGCTTTGCTTTTCTCTGTGTGTCTGTGCTTCTGTGCTAGTGGACAGCTGTGTGTCTTAGTGTGTGATGCACAGTCTTAGGAAGGCCGTCTGCCTGCTCCTGGTATGTCAGTATTCTCTGGCTTGGAGCCTGACAGTGTTCCCCCACTACCACAACCCCCACTACACACACATCCCATAACTGCACATACACACAGCACATTTCACATATGCAGCATAAGCACCCCCGCTCTTGCACCCTCCTACACACACACACACACACACACACACATGCAAAGACTTCCTACTGGAATGTAACCATGGAAACGTAGTGCCCTCTCAATAGGAGTTATGATGGAGGCAGCAGAAAAGAGAGGAAGAGACGAACAGAGAAATACATTTCATCTCTATTCATACGCACAGAGTGATGGTGGAGATGAATTGATGAGTTGACTTGTCTCTGAGAGAAGACACTCCAGTTGGATTTGTTCATTATAATCAGTGTGAAATGACACAAGAAAAGGCCCACGTGGTGGTACTGTGGTTCGCGCTGTTGCCTAACCTCAAGAAATGAATGCGTTCATGTCCTGTCTGAGACAGATGGCCATCCTGTTTTCTCCAGGGACTCTGGTTTCCACCCACAGTCCAACAACATGCAGATTGGGATTAGATTAATTAGAAAATGTGACTAGACCTCAGGTGCAGCAGGTTCCTATGTTTTTTTATATTCACATTAAAAGTGTATCTTCCATTAGCGCTGGATGTTAAAGCATTCGCTGCAAAAAGACAATAATAAACCTGTCTACTTTATGGTCCTCCTGACGTACAACCACATATACAGCAACTATATAGATATATATCAATAAAACATCCACATAGGTTCTAGGGCTTATACTAAGAGGGCGCGTGGAGTGTATGATGTCCCTATATGTGTGTTTATCTGTTTGTGATTTCTGTGCTTTTTATATTTCAATATTCCACCTCTGTTGTTCAACAACAAAATAACAGCTAGTTCACTGTTCAAAAAAATGACAGTTGTAAAATCTTTAACATCTGAACGACACTATTTAATTTTCCGCAACCCGCTGTTAAGATGATGCAAAATCTAAGAAAGAATTTTTAAAAATATGACATGTTACTACTGAGCCAAACAGCCAACAGCTAACATGGTGGAACTAAACAAAAAAAAACCTGTTAGTATTTTTATTCTGTAATAGCCTCCACAGAGGCTGCAACTGTGATGATTTCATTTGAAAGACTGAAATCATATTTTGAGATCCACCCACTCATCTCTATCTCTCTCTCTGTGAGTATTACAAGTGGAGGACAGTGTCAGCGACACAGAATGTGTGTGGGCAACTGAGTGGGCGGAGAGTGCCATTTGGAGCCACATGTGGGAGTCAGTCACACGGCTGCACAGAGAGGTGAAGTGGGCAGTGTAGTGACAGGTAGAAAGTGAGTGACGGGAACAAAACACAGCGGTGTTCACCAGGCAGACACTGGTGAAAATGTCAGTCAACGTGATTTAGTATGAAAACACACTGACAAATGTCTTGTCAGGTTTTCATTCCTGCCACTACTGACTGAAACACTGACAAGAACAATTTAGAAAATTGCCTTTTTTTCTGAACATCATTGGTTACGAAAGTGCCAAGTTGGATTTCTAAAAGGCCATGTTGAAGTAGTTTAAACACTGTTGTCTCTCTTATGCAACTTATTCTCTTAATTTAACCTGTTTAATGCATTTTTAAAGCATCCGTTTTCTCCTCCTACAGTTAATGTATTTTGAAATAAAATGACTAAGATTCTGGAAAAAAGATGACATTTCACTTTGGGAATTAACTCTTAAACTGCCAAACCTTTTACTGTCTGCCTAAATTTAAATAATGACCTTTTGCTGTAATTTCCGTCCACCACCAGGTCTGCACGCAGCTCAGAATTAACAGTTATGTCAAGCACACACTGATGTCCTGCAGCTGTAGTGTAGTTTTAATGTGCAGCAAGTAGTGCAGAATACACATACAGTGTATATTTTTTAGTACTATAAAATATTTAGAAGGCATACGAAATGACAGAACTGAGGAAAAATAAAATTCTTCAGTGAGGAGACATTCAGTGAGTTTAAACACTGTCCCAGTAAGCCATTTGCTTCAACCATATTTTGTGATAATATTTATTAAACTGACGTCATAACAAGCTTTTGATTTCAGTCGTGCAATATCCACTTGATTTCTGATTGAGCATATATCAATGTTCAAACCTCACAAAGGCTTGAAATGTAAAATCCTTAACAAAACTTAAATAACTCTTGAATTAGCGTGAAAGGCTAATTAAAAGCAGCGAGACTCTACAAACAGACGCCAGGCACACTGTGTGCTAATCACATTTAAATTGCAATGTACTGAAGCAGTGAGGCCGCCTGTTGAGATTCTGCCCAAAAATAATGAGGCTGCCTCTTTAATGACTAGATAGACTGCTGACAAAGTCGTACCTTTGATGAGATCCAACGATGAATTGAAGAAGGTTTAGAGAGTCAGAGAAGACACGCACGGTGCAGTGGACGCCTTGAGGTACGACTCAGATAACAACTGGATTATTCCCTGCTTGAATCTGCAGATGTTCATTGGGTTCACCCCTTCTGTCTTGATCGGATTGTGTCACTTACTTTTGATTGTTTGTTTTAAAATTGCACACAACGTTGTTCAAGTGAACATCTTTTAAACAGTAAATGGTTGTATTGTGCAGAAATATATATAACAATTCAGCTTGTGCACTAGTGCACACTACTAGTTGATTGTAAATGTTGGCAGCCCTTCATTTGTCACTCACTGGAACCAGACGATCCTCATTCCTTTTTTAAGTCATGTTCTAAAGACATGATGGAGGGACTGATGCAACGAGGAAAAGAAAAAGATTTGTGCATGAAATGTGACCCAGGAACTAAGGGAGAGGACGCTTCCTATCAGTGATACAGCCAGGACCAACTTTTAGCTGTTAGCTGTACAGTCAGACCGTTTAACAAGTGCCACCTCATGTAAAAACCCAATTCCATGTGGAATGATATGATGCAGTAAAGTACAAACGATCAAAAGTACAAATGATCACAGAGAGCCATCATGCCTTGGTGTTGTCAGCATACGCCAGTCTTACCATTTGTAGCGGCCTCTTTCGAAGTTCCCTCTCAGTGACCAGTCTCTCCTGGTCAGTGACGTAGAGTCCACGTTCTGCCAGGGCTTGGATGACAGCTTCGTGGCCTAGCATGGGCTTGGTGTCGTCATTCTTCAGGATGAGGCTGCCGGCTCTGCAGTACAGGTCTGCAGACAGCAGGAGGTTGGCCACAGGAGGCTTTAGGTGCTCCTGGTCGTACTGGTCTGTGTAGAAGGGCTCCTTCAAGTCAGCTGGGATACTGTCTGAATGTAAGAGAAAGGAAAAAGAGCACATTTCAATGTTTTATTCTAGTCCACACTACAACAAAATTCAGGTTGCCATCACAGAACAGCAAATATTCCAGTTTGCATGCCAGTGACTGACTTTTCCTATGCCTGTGCAATTCACCCGCATCAATTAGACAACTGCCAAAAATAGCTATACTAATTAGAGAGACAATTATTTTGCAGAATGAATGACTTTGCTGCACTACTTATGTGTAAAGGTTTAGCTTCCCCTTAGTATCCAGTTCCCCTGGTATTGATTTGTTTGATAGGTCTCCCTCCTTTTGCCCCACTACACCTTGACAGTGTCTTGACGTAAATATTGGTAGATAGATCTCCGGGGTTGCTATAGCAACTACAGGAGGAGTGGACCTCCATCGATTCATCTAGGCTGGATCGCAACAACTCCTGGCTCCCTGGGAACACCCTTCTGAATGCCTGCTACATCAAAGATAGAGCCTGCTTGTCTGTGTGTGTCTGTGTGTGTGTGTGTGTATGAAAGAGAGAGCGATAGAGAGAGTATCACCTCGAGCAAGATCTCAGCACAGTGGTTGTCTATACATAATTTAAAAGCCTTGTATTTTTGTCTTTTGTTTCCTGAGCCAGAGTTTTTATAAACCGCATTAAAGGTGAAGCTAAAGGACAAAAAAATTAGGAAAAGTAGGATGTGTGTTACATGGAGAGGATGAAGAACTGAGCAGCACACCTGCAGAGACTGACCGTTATCAACAAGGTCATCTGCAAAAAGACTCGCCAGTGAAGGATCGTGAAGTAGAAAAACAAACAGCCACGGCAGCAGACAGTACAGTCTGATTCTGTTACTGCGATCAATAAAGATAATCTTAATTTTAACCCTCCACTCTGTGGTATAGCGGGGGTCAGAGGTCAGGCTAAGCCACAGATCAAACCACCTTCAGCATAAGTGTCTTTCATCAATTAAAATAGAAAAAACTATTACAAAATAAACAAACTATACAAACTATATTTTCTTCAGCCATTCTCCCTTGTCACTGAAATGTTTTTTTCACTTTGGGTTGGATCAAAACCTTTTTCAGCACCACTATTTCAAATGATTTTCACATTTATGGTTAGAGTTTAATGGTTGCTCAAAGGCATGTCGAAAAGCCTTGGTAAACAAACATGGAATTTTATGCTGATTTTCTTTCACCACTGAGGTTTTGCTTCTGGCAACACGGTGCACTCATGAGCACACTGCTGTTTGATGAGTATTTCTCTCAGATAAATTATTGTTTTCATCTGCCTGTAGTTAATTACTAAGGTATTGATGGATGAATCTGATTTATTCAGAACAGTGCAGATATACAGTGGACATGAAGACACCTTTTCTTGTTTACATCCTTCACCCTGCTACTGATCCTTGATGAGGATCAGTAGCTGGACCATAATAGCAACATGTTTACCAGAAGAATGAGGAATAAAGTCCTTATAAAATAGTGTAATTGTATATAAAGTTTGTACCATAAAATGAACTGAATGAAAGTAACATCTTTGTTTCGCTGGTGTTTCACAGATGGGTTCATTGCTTGTTAATGCAACATGGCTGCAACAGTTTGTTATTTTAAGTAATTGAGTAATTAATACATCAATAATAACACAGTATTTTTGAAAATCAGCAAAGTATTTTTTATTTAATTAAATCAGACTTCTGATAATGTGAATGTTTTTCTCTCTTTTTTTTGGTTCCTCAGTTTCCTTCAAAATACAAATCTGAATAATCCACAATTGTGGACCAAACTAAATGTCATAGACAAAATCTGTTTGGACTAAAGGAGTAGATTATTGATCAGAGGAATTATTGATTATCTAATCTAATAAGAACATAGCCTTTCCCTGCTGTATTTCAATTATTACCAACACTTGCTTGCTTGTTACCAAATGTGGCATTCTAAGTCAATGAAGTGTAAGACATGCTATGCATGCAGAATCACTGCAGAACAATGTTAGTTACATCTTTATAACACAGAGATACACTGTGTTATATGTTACGCACGATAGGTTACAGATAAAATTCGTTACAAACGTTAAACCTTTCCAGTTGTGTTACTATGTGCAGGAGGTAACTGATTTGAGGTTTGTGCTGAGTAGAAGACAATACAATTTGTCAGCACAGCCCATCAATGATGTAGTAACACACGCTCATCAGTGTATTGCCTTTGACTTAGCAATTTATTCCAAAGCGTTTCGCTAAAATAAACAAACATGGACGCACGTGTCAACCACCAAGGTGGCTGCAGGTAAACCTACCTGTGCCGTATGCTTTGGTCACCAGCCACGTGAGGCTGCAACAGATTTTAGCTCGGGAAAAGTCATAATGTTCGAAAGACTTGACTGATGGAGCCACGAAGGTCCTTGGAGCAGCCCTGGCGTCCGGGACTTCACCCATGTTTCTCCCTGAATTAACACCGTTATGACCAGCGGAACAGAAGCCTACGAAGCAGCACCGCGGTCAAAGCATCTCACTGCTGGAATTCCAAAGGAATCGATTAAGGAGTGATAATACAGTAACAACTGGAATCTTTTTGAATATTATATATAGATTTTTTAAGTCCTAAAATGCAAAATGGATAGAATAAGTTTTGGTATTTCTCAGACTTGTTGGCACGACCAGACGCTCGTCATTGTGTTATTTTTTCCATCCATTCTTCTCCGTCTGCCAGCAGAAATTGGCTCCGTGGGACCGTACTGGAAAGGTTTCCATTGGGTTTAGAGGACAAACCGAGCTTTGGCTGGAGGGAAAACAAGTCCGTTTCCATTATTTTGGAGTCTTTGGAAACACACTGTTCCTTTTCATGTATCCCTTCATGGATACCCGATGTCTTTTATGGTCCCTCCTTTTTTCAATCTCCTGGTGCCGTGGTGCGGTTTTCCTGCCGCACTGAGGATTTCCAGACTCGGTGTCTTTGTTTCGAACTGCGCTTGCGTGTGTGATGTATTCAAAGACTGTCGGTGATTTAGTCTGCTTGTGTCTGGAGCCTTTGATTTGTCCCAGCGTGTTCTCCATTTTACTAGTACACGTTACATTTATTTAATTAAAACTGGATATAAATAGTTTTGCTTCGAATAACAATATGCATTTCTCAACAGTAAAAGGAAAATATAGATTTACGATGAACATTTGAATGCGACACTTGACAGATCCGCTGTACCTTCCATCTCACTTAAAATGCAGCCAGATTCTATATAAATATACGTTGATAATTTGACATAATCTAATATAAGTTAATTATCTTATGTAAATTAAAACACATTGAAAAAACATTTTACATTCACTGCATTGATTTAGGTGCATATATTTTCCAGCAAAACCACATGCGAGCAACACAAGAATACGTCATCAGTATGCGACAGAAGGCATTTTAAACTGCTGGAGGATTTGACGGAGGCAAGTATGTATGATGCTCCTAACAAACATTGTATAGCTCAGATATTTAGGCTTAAAAGAACGAGTCACTTACTCCGATTAAATTGTTTAGAAGTACAAGGGAAAATAATAACATTTAATGAATTCGCTTTCGATTTTATTTACAACAATTATAAACACAATAAAACTGAATTTACGGCGAGTCCCTTGTCTCTTAGAGTGTGTAGTTCTGTTGTTATGTTCTTTTCCAGATTTTGGGGCTGTAGAAAGGACAGTCTAAACACTCGAATGTTTATTTTCGTTTTTACAGCTACCAAACTACTCAAATGCCAAAATGTTTATGCCAAGAGCCTTGAAAGTAAAGAGACCTGTTCGGGGACCGGGACAGATCCCTGTCAAAAAAAGCAAAGTTGAAGAGAGTGACGGGAAAGATGAAGGCACTTCAGAGACATCTGTTCTTAATGAGGAATCAAAAATACACGATTTAACCTTAAAGTCAGGTGGAGACTCAGCTTCAACAGACTGCTTTGTTTCCAGTGGTGTGTCAGAGGATGAAGATGAGGACGAGGATGAGGATGAGGAGCCTGTCAAATCATTCAAAAAGAGCCAGAGATGGCCTGAGCCAGGGGAACCTGTGTGTGTGATGTGTGGTCGATATGGGGAGTACATCTGTGACAAAACTGACAATGATGTTTGCAGTCTTGAATGTAAAGCCATCCATTTAAAGCAAATGGGGATGGGAACTGATATTGCTGACCTTCAAAATGTTAATGGAGATCAAAGGACTTCTCAATCGCAGTCTGCACAGATCAACCTTGTCACGTTGCGAGAAAGTGTGGCTGAATATTCTTATAAGGAAGATCCTTTCATATCGAATCTAACAAATGAACAGGTGCAGCGTATAAAGCTGGAGCTAGGAATAGAAACCCAGGGGAGAGATGTTTGCAGACCCATTGTTGAGTTTGGTCACTGTGGCTTCCCTGCCATTCTAACTGGTAACCTGAAGAAAGCTGGCTATGAGGCACCGACACCAGTCCAGATGCAGATGGTGCCTGTTGGTCTCAGTGGAAGGGATGTGATTGCCAGTGCTGACACAGGATCAGGGAAGACTGTGGCCTTCCTGCTCCCCGTGATAGTGAGAGCACTTGAGGTACGGTAATAAAGTTGAATGGAAGAATTGATATTTAGCACTGCATGTATACTGTTGTAAACAGTACTCTTAATTTATAATACTTTTTCTTACCTAATATTTCTAATCTAATCCTTAATTTATTTGATGACATGGGTTTGTACTAGTCATTTTGTGAAATAATAATTTTGTTGCTCTTTTATTTTATTTAGAAATTGACACAGAGCGTGGACAGTCCCACAGCTGTGATCTTGACACCCACTAGAGAACTTGCCATTCAGATAGAACGACAGGCAAAGGAACTGGTGATTTGCATTCCCAACATGAGAACTGCACTACTGGTGGGTGGAATGCCACTTCCACCACAGCTACATCGCCTCAAAAGCAACATCAAAGTATGTTACAATATTTTAACATCAATACCCTGTTATGTAAGTTACAAACTATTCATGTTGTGACTTTCTGGATTTTTTTTTACCCTGCTTGTCATCTTTTTTGTACTCCCTTAAGTTCATCATAGCCACGCCTGGACGGCTCCTTGAAATTCTGAGGCAGAAAGCAGTGAAACTGGACAAAGTAAAAGTTGTAGTGGTTGATGAGGTATGTCAGGCATTCACGTGTATTAATCTACATCCAGCTAAAACTGAAGTGCATGTTATATTGAAAAGAAACAATGTAATAAGACCATAATGAACATCTGCAGGTGGACACCATGTTGAAGATGGGCTTCCAGCAGCAGGTCTTTGAGGTCTTGGAACATGTTTCGGATGAACACCAGACTCTACTGGTCTCGGCCACTATTCCAACAGGAACTGAGGAGCTGGCCGCTAGACTTGTCAAAGACCCTGTCCGTATAACTATCGGAGAGAAGAACCAGCCCTGTGCCAATGTCAGGCAGATTGTGCTGTGGGTAGAGGAGCCTTCAAAGAAGAAAAAGCTGTTTGAGATTCTTAATGTATGTGGCAATCCATTTTTATTTAAATTGTTTTTTTTTTTTTAAGCAAACTAACAGTTATGATAATGGCAAGTTCAAATGGGAATATCCTTAGACTGGGAACTTCTAAAGTTAAACTGAGCTCTCTTTAAGTTGTTAACAGTTTTTATCTCTCTTTGTTAAAGTACTCCGAATACTATTAAAAAACCCCAGAACAGTCAATGTAAAGGATAAAAACAGAGAGATTATCATTTCAGTTTCAGTTAATCCTTGGTTTATTGGTCAGTCTAGACATGGACCAGTACCCGACTGGTATTTTATTAATGGTCTGTTTAAAGTTGTGAATTCCTTAGGCTCTGAGGAATAGTCTCCATGTAACACCATATTTAGACAGCCATGGCTGTAGCCCTTGGCCTTGTGTCCAGAGGAAATGGGTGGGCTCTGAGCCCATGGCATGACTCCAGGAATCCCAGCAATGGGCTGTACTGTTATTACAAGGCAGGGCAGGAAAGGTCTTTCTTACTTCACAGAGTAATGAAGTGTAGTAATAGGAGATACTTTTTTGGTGTTTCAGGTATACAGCCCTTCATACCCCAAACTACCAATAAACAAAACGTTGGCACAGATCCTGCCATATATGTAATATTCTTGAAGGATCATTACATTGCATCTAGAAAAGGAACAAAACAAAGCTCCTAAAACTCATACAGTATATTTTGAAAATGATTATTTACAGTTACATATAAACATATAGACATGTAACAATTGGCTGTAATTGATATTTGTTTTTTTCTATGTGGCTCTACAGGACAGTAAGCTCTACCAGCCTCCAGTGTTGGTGTTTGTAGACTGTAAATTGGGGGCAGACCTACTGTGTGAAGCAGTGTCCAAGGTGACAGGTCTCAATACAGTGGCAATCCACTCAGACAGGAGCCAATTGGAACGTAACCGCATCCTCAGGGTAAGTGTGCTGGCAGCCAGAAAATGCAGAGTCAAGTTTATAAATTGTGTACATGCCACTGTGTCCATAATTGTTGCCCGTTGATTTAATGATCTGAAGACACTAGAAAAATCTACCAAGAATGTTGTTTTTCACATGTATTGTCTGTAGATTGGCCAAAATTTTGTTATGCATTTTAAATCCTAACAATTAAATGTAACTGGGTTGATGTTTAATTAAACTATTAAGCAGATGATGGTGTAATTTCATTTTGGTGGTAGTTTGGTTATTGTTATCATCTACCACAGATGTATCTCACTGTCGTATCTAAAAGACATTTTTACTGTTGTTTTTCTCCAGGGTTTACTGGATGGAGACTATGAGGTAGTGGTCAGTACAGGGGTTTTGGGCAGAGGACTGGACCTAGTAAATGTTAGACTGGTGGTTAACTTTGACATGCCCAACACTATGGATGAGTATGTACATCAGGTTCGTAATGCTTAATGTGGATGTAAAGTATTTATAATTTTGGATTTTTACTTTTAATGTATTTGTTCATTTTAATTATGAAGTTTTCCCATTTCAGGTTGGCAGAGCAGGTCGCCTAGGGCACAGAGGAACGGCCCTTACTTTTCTGAACAACAACAATAAGCGTTTGTTCCTTGAGGTAGTGAACCGGGTCAAACCAACAGGTTCTATTCTTCCTCTGCAGCTCCTAAACTCACCCTACCTCCATGAACAGCAGAGGAGGAAAAAACAAAAGAATACACTGGGATCTGAAGATACATTAGTGACTAAGAACAATCTCTTAGACATAATAAAAAAACATGACCGCCGTAAGAAGTAGGGATATATAATTTTTTCTGTTTATTCTGTTCTACCATCTATTTATGAAATGTATATTTTGTAAATTGTTTTTTTTAAATAAATGTTATTTGAACTTCTCAGTCTTTTTTGTTTTTGTTTAAAATATTAAGTTGACGTCACACTTAACGGCCGCAAACTAATTACAGAATGGAAAACACGAGTAATCCGCAGGCTGTTTCTTTTACAGTGGTTGGACAGCGAATATAGGGTTGATTATACTGCCACTTAGTGTATTTTTAAGGTACTGATCTGGCAACGCCCCCTTGTGACGCAACAATGTCCGAGAATTCAGCCAATCAGCTGCCGCTGACGAGGATTGTTTGAAAATTGAGGCGGGTGAAGGCGGAAGAGAAGAGAACGATACACAAACGCAGTTCTGTTGGGCTGGACATAATTTAGGTTTTATGCGTGTGTTTTCAAATGTATTTTTAAGCTAATATGCCTGCTTGTACTTCCGTCCATCTCAGATATTTGAGCAACTTTTAAAAAGATTTTATTAACCGTCAGATAAGGCGTTCTTTTTAGTGCTTTTAGCAGCCATGTCATTATTCAGTGTGCAAGCGAGGAAACATACCGCTTATTATGACCATTTGATGTCGATACCGTCGTCCAGGACCCCAGCCAGAGTTCGTCCACCAGATAGAAAATCCACGGATTCAACATCCGGAGACTCTGCATGTGAAGACAGCAGAATATCTGGCAAAAGTCGACAGATAAACCGGACGTATGTCATCTCTGCTTTGTCAAAGGGCGGCCCTGGGCAGCAGACGCCTCAACGGAACCGACTGACTCTACAGAGAAGGTCCAGGAAGAAGTCCGGGATTGAAAGCGTGGACAAAACTATGGCCGAGTGTAGTCAGAATATAACTCCAGCTGAAGAGAAGAGACTAACGCTGCAGCGTAGAACCAGGACTCCATCAATGGATAAGAGCGTCCAGGGACAACGTGAGGCCCAGCCCACATCTCAGGTTCTCATTGAAGCCAACGGTAGGTCACCTGCTTTATTCAGATCTTCGAGTTTGAGAGAAACCTCCACGCAGAAAAAGATTCTTTTGAAAACACATGATAAGTTGGCCCTCAACAAGACGCCAACATCCACAGTCAGGCAACTAGAAGACCAGGCCCAAACCTTTAAAACTCCTACGAAGAAGACACCGTTTGAGAAAATCGCAGCTAAGAGAGATGTGTTCGAGAAACTGGCTGCAAAGGAAACTCCCAAACTAGTAAAAGTAAAGTCTGCAAGTCTGGAAAGACCTAAACCCAAAGTGCAACAGAGTCAGGAGAGCAAACCCGCGCCGACTCCTCGGATCACTAAAGTGGCCTCAGGTGTGCGGAAGCCAAGCACAGAACTGCAGGTGACCAGAACGTCAGGTCCAAAGGAATCTGTGACCCAGACCAGAATCTCCCCTCCTGCAGCCACTGCCAAAACTGCAAAACTCTCCGAGCAACGGCAGTCTGGTTCTACCGAAGCCGTGAAGCAGCAGGATTCATTCAAGATGGAAAACAGTGCAGTGACAGTGGCGGTCCGTGTGCGGCCTTTCAGCTCCAGGTAAACAAATTAACTTGTTCTGGGCGTGTTAGTTTGATGCCTCGCATTGAAAGGGAGACAATAAACACTAGATGTGTTAGTTTGAGGCATCGAACTCCATTGAAAGGGAGACAATAAACACTAGATGGTAAACAGGCAAAGAACTTTACTACTAAAAACGAGTGAATACAGATTTGAAAACCACATAACATGCACTAACAAGCAAAAAGGCTAATGGTGATTAGACTATTTCAATTCATTACAATAGAGCATGCACACTCGTTGTCCCAATCTGATTTCAATATAAGCGTTGAATTTTAGCAGTAGATGTTGCCAGGTCTTCCACACTATGACTTTTAAACAAATCAAATTATCAAGGTTTTTTATCTGTTCGCTTGAAGAAACTAAAGAAAACAAACAATAAAAGGGCACGCCCTCACCAAGGCCGTCTTCTCACAAACTTAACAACAGCTAACTTATTTTTCATTGTTTTTTTCCTTGAATCATAATTGACATTCCCACAAGATGTAATCAGAGTCCACAGAGCAGCCCACGGACAAACAAGAGCAAAAAGTTACTTTGTGTTTGAAGAAACTTTGATGGATGCTTATTTATTACTCACCCACTTGTTAAAACCAAACATATTTTGGTGTATAAATTAGCATATTTTGCGAGGCTTTTATGCTGTGCTGTAAATAATGCTGGTCCTAATATTGTCTCCTGTAGGGAGAAGACAGAAAAGGCGCTGCAGGTGATTTTTATGAATGGCCAACAGACTGTTGTCCAACATCCAGAGTCCAAACAGAGCTACTCCTTTAGCTACGATTACTCCTTTTACTCCTTGGAGGAGAGTGACCCCAACTTTGCCAGTCAACAGACAGTGTACGAGACCCTGGCCCGACCTCTGCTGCACAGGGCCTTTGAAGGATTCAACACTTGTTTGTTCGCTTATGGTCAAACAGGATCTGGAAAATCATACACGTGAGTGGTTACTTTTATTTTATTTTTTTTCTACTTTATTTTTGCTCTTACCTGTTACTTTGAGTCACTTTAATTTGAAAATATTATTTTGCAGAATGATGGGCTTCGGAGAAGAGTCAGGGGTCATACCTCGGTTCTGTTGTGAACTTTTTTCTAGAATGACCTCCATTGAAAATAATGAGGTAAAAAGCCAGAATGAGAAAACTACGAAACACATGGAAAATATGCACAAAACGTTGCAAATTAATTGCTTTGCATTACAGGTCAAATGTCACCTTGAGATGAGCTACTTTGAAGTTTACAATGAAAAGATCCATGACCTGTTGGTGACAAGAGATGAGCCAAACCAGAGGAGAATGCCTGTAAGTGGAAGTGAAGATGACAGATCTCTGTTTAATATAGATGTGGCTTTTAATTTGATGAGGAGCAAATAAAAAGGCCTATACTGTAAAGATAAATCACATTTGAGAAATTGAAATTTCTCTGACTCTTATGACATAAGCTTTTTTTCCACATTTTAAGACAATTCTAAAAAAAAAACAACTTAATTTGTGTTGATTTACGATATGAAACAGATAAAAACATTTTAAGACAATTGTAAAAAAAAAAACAACTTAATTTGTGTTGTCAGCTGAGGGTTAGAGAGCATCCGGTCCATGGTCCTTATGTTGCTGATCTTTCTACGTAAGTATTAAACCCACCTTTTCTGTATTTTTTTCTTTTTTTCCACTGTTTATTATTACAGTTGGTTTTATTTTAAGAATTCCTCACCTTTTCATTTCTTCACAGGAACGTTGTGAGCTCCTACAGTGACATTCAGGTACGTTAATACTGCTGAGGTTTATTGCTAAAAAGTCATGTTTGAGTCAGACATAAATTTTCTCTGCTTTTGTGTTCAGGGATGGCTGCAGCTGGGCAACAAGCAGAGAGCCACAGCAGCTACAGGAATGAATGACAAAAGTTCCAGATCTCACTCTGTCTTCACCCTGGTTATGACTCAAACTAAAGTAAGGGCTCGTCTCCATCGTTGCAAAATGCAAAGATGAAAAATCTTGGCTGTTCTTAAATATTAAACATTTTAATAGTCAAAGAGATTCTGACAATAACTGTAAATTCTCACGTCCCTCTCCGCAGACTGAGTTTGTGGAAGGTGAACAACATGATCACAGTATAACCAGCAGGATAAACCTGGTCGACCTGGCAGGCAGTGAACGCTGCAACTCTGCCCAGACGAGTGGAGACAGACTCAGGGTAAACACACACACACACACACACAGTTGTTGTTTTCTCAAAATATTTATTAATCATTAATGTTTTATGGGGTAATTTCAGGTTTTAAACCAATGAATCTCATAAAAAAATCATTGTTGAATTTGAGTATTTCTTAGATAAATGGAAGGAGTCTGTAAACATGTCCTTGTCCTCCTGTTTAATGTTAAATTGTGTTTAAAAAATCCCCTCAAACTGAAGTCTGAACTTTTCCCCTCTTAATTATAGCAGTTACAGCAACTTACTGATTTCCAGCTTTAATCTACTTATGATAGATTTAGGTTAAATCCAGACTAGTAGAATATGCATTTTTCTTTTTTAAATGTTTTCCCCGTGTCATCACAGGAAGGTGCCAGCATCAACAAATCCCTACTTACCCTAGGGAAGGTCATATCTGCCCTCTCTGAACAGGCACTGACCAGAAAGAAGGTCTTTATACCGTACAGGGAGTCGGTCCTCACATGGTGAGAGATCTTTGTTCTTTGCATTCATTTATTCACAGTTATTTAACACAAATAACTCCATATAAAGTTTTTTTCAGTATTATTGTTTTGGCACATTTTCATTTTTACAAATAAAGTTTAATTTTTTTCTTTAACCTTTGCAGGCTCTTGAAGGAAAGTCTGGGGGGTAACTCCAAAACGTCCATGATCGCCACTCTGAGTCCAGCAGGTAGTAACGTGGAGGAGAGCCTGAGCACGCTGCGCTATGCCCAACAGGCTCGGACCATCATCAACGTGGCCAAGGTCAATGAGGACACCAGCGCCAAGCTGATCAGAGGTCAGACATTCAGAATAACCACTTAGAAAAGAGTAGAAAATAATCTTAATTCTACTATTGTTGGTATGAATAATTTCTTTAAGAAATTGTAGAATAGGTGTTTCTAGTTCACAATAAAAACCTAACAACGAAAGAAAGTTAAAGAATTTGTCCTGTCCTTGGTGACGACAAACATTTTCACTCTGAAAACAAATTGCAAAATCCTAGAAACTTTTTTTCGTGAACCTGAACATCTGCTGCTCTACACAAACATCTCACACCTGTATGTTGTCTTCTCTTTTGTCCCCATGTGATGTTGTAACTAGACTTCTCACATCTGTGAACGTTATTTGTTGAACAGGAAAAAACCTTGACAATTTAAAATTAAGGTTTAAAGCAATAGTCTGCAACTCTTTTATCATTAAAACACACCATCCAGACCAATATTTCAACACTATGATTATGATGTGTGGAGCTGTGTGAAGTTAAAAACATTTTTCTCACTTGAACTTTAGAACAAGAATAATTTTCTTTTCAAAAACTGTTTTTTTTTCTTTTTTTT